AGCGGCTCACGGTTAAGGGTATTTCGAATTGGAATATTCTGAAATTAACCCAATATTGTCATTCCTGAAATTTTTCGAAGGACACACATTTATTTAGCCTGCACCAGAAATCGCGTTTTTCTGCCTGTATTTGGCGTTCCTGTGTCTACATAATTGCAGATGCGAATTCAGACTTAAGCCTTTTCATAAGTAGACCGCTCTTCTTTTATCGGCAAAGATCAGATCAACTACACTCGACTAATTTATCTTGATTTCTCTCAATTGAGGTTCATAATTGCCATATTGCATCGCAGCCATTAACTGAACCGAATCACGTAAATTAATAAGTGTAAATTGTTGTTTTCAAAATGTACTTCTATAATGGAGTTACAAATTTTAAAATTATATGCTTGCGTGGAAGTACTTAAGAACTTTTCTTTAACTCTTGACTGAGTGAATAGGAACGATGATGAGAACGATGAGAACAACAATGACAACAGAAGCGGGAATAAACTCAGCATAAAAATATTCGACATGATATTAACTAACCTGAAGGTCACATAGGGAGAGACAAATACATTAAGTAACGAGCAACCAACATTGCGTAACCGCACCTGCGTCTGTGAGATCCGTGTTGAGGTTTATGTGATTGAACTGCAGTAGAACTCCATCTTAAAGCAGACGGTATAACCAAGTGGAAGAACTTGAAGGAGAGTTGTCCTGCAATGACGAGAAGATTATTTATGCATCAGCTCAGGTAGTGCTATTGCCTAGAATGTTGTTACTCATGCGAATTTAGAGCAGTACTACCAACTGAACGACCTGCAAGCAACGATCGTTTAAGAGATGTTTACAATGCCTAGAGATTAGCATTAACGAATGTTTAAACGTCTACGCTTTGCATTATCAGAAAAGACTGAGCAGTCACCAGAAGTAGCCTGATTTAATACAGAAAAACAATTTTATTCACGTCAGTCGTATCGGCTAAATCGAGAAATATGACTAAACATTGTTTCATTGTTCATATTACTGACTCTCTGAGCAGAGGAAGGCAATTTCTAAATGTTCCATCATGCTTTGGCAAGACGGCTGCATTCACAAAACCTGAATCACAATAAAACGAAAACAAATACATCGGCTTCTCTACGAAACCAATAAAACTATCGCTCTCTACACATAAAACAGTGACAGGTTTTTCGACTTGTTCTCCTTAGAGGTGCGCAGAAAACGCAAGTCCGGCACTCCTCAAACATGACGTACTTTCCACCTTCTGTCTTCATTGCAAACTAAGTAATTTGACAATCAGATCAGCCTAGAGTGTAATTGGGAGGGAGATTCGAAGTTGGCGATTCAAAAGAATCCAGGTTGTAATTCTTGATGCCTACTAACTGTCTCTCAGGCAAGCCACATCATCGACCCATTTGCTGCTAAAGTGGTAAAGAGCAGAATTCGCGTCGGTTAATTCAGTCCATTGTCCGCTTAGAAGGTGATCCAGAAGAGACATCTGGCACATTTTCTCTCGTAGCTCTCTACGTGACCATCAGTTTTTTGCATCGGCTTTCATAGCAGATCAACATTTAGCGCAGTACATCATGTCGGAACGATGGTTGAATCGCATTTTTTTTTCTTCACTCGCATGGACAATTCACTGTCAAGTAGCAGTTTTAAAAGGATTAAAGTAGACGTATTCAGTTCTCCTTCTGCTGATTTCCGCATCTAGTAAGTTCATGCAGTCCACCTGATATTCAGCGTATATGTGGCTGATGACTCCTTCGAGTTCTTAAGTATTCGCGTAGATAGAGCCATCGGGTCAGTGTTTGTTTCGCATTCATTTCGTCTTGGAAAGATTTACCTGCACCAAGCCGAAAATGCGACATTCTTGGATCTTTCTTGCAACTGCTACATTTTTTGTTGCAACGGTGAAGAGCGTTCTCGAGATGGTCACTTCTTGGCGAAATCATAACAAATGATAATTATCTCACAGAGTAAAGAAACAATATGTCTACAATGATCTTATTTTTACTAAATCGTTCAAATGAAGCACCTCACAAGTTGCCTGAGTAATCCTAAGCCGAACGTTCAAACCTTGACTGCAAATGATTTTCAGGTTGTTACGTGCGTGAGGTTTTTACCGACGATGATGAATCAGTTTGGCGCACTGGAGGAAGAACGAAACTAGGCTTGACCATGAAAGGCGACGAGGCCGCTCATTGTGCGCTTTCCAGAAGGTCAATTTTATTCGGGTTTTGTTAAAAACATCGATCGGGCACCGCTTGCCCACAGTTCAACGACCGATTGCTCCAGTTGCACCCGAAGAGATGAAAAAGTTACTGATGCATACAGGTCAAAAGAAATTGCTTCAAACTTCTCGTATGACCTGACGGCTGAGTTTGGTCATGGAATCTTCATAGTGCTGGCTAAAATGCATGAAATGAGGCGACGATGGAACCTAGTTTATGGGCGGTTTGAACTAATTGTTGTTGTCCTGTTTGGAATCGACATCTTGCTGTCTAATTATTTGGAATTTCTAAACCGGGACTCATCTTTGGCGTTGAATGACCACATCTTGCCATGCAAACATCATTATGGAAATGTGGCCATACTCTTGGTGGTCCATAATCGAGAGTCGTTCAAGTACGAGATCAGTACAATTGAAGCATACAGCAAACTTCACGACTACTCATTCGTTATCGTGACAATAGGAAACGATTCTTCCTCGGACGCTCGCTGTTCGTCAGTTAGATCTATATACTTCAGAAGACACTGCATCGTAGTCGAATATTTGAAACACTATGACTGGATATTGTTCATTGACGCTGACGTCATGGTGGTCAATTTCAATCGTTGCATCGAAGAGTTCATTGATGACCAATTCGACGTTATTCACTACGAAAGGTTCTTCAGCGCCGAGGTAGCGGCTGGAGGCTATTTGGTCAAGAATTCTTCATTTGCCCAGTTCTACCTTACCAAATGGTACGAGCGACATGATGAATATGGTGACATGTCTTTCGTCAATCATGACAACGGAATCTTGCAAATCCACCTCTTGGCTTACGATACAGATGTGCCGAGAGAAGTCATTCAGCGCTATGAACATCGCCTGAAGACGGGTATCGCTTCTTTTCCTTACTATCAGTTGACATCTGAGATCAATTCATATTATCGTAGAGACGCTTATAAACTTGGCAGAGTTAAACTAGTTAAGCCGATGCACGGATGGATGAGAGACGGCTGGATTACTCATTTGAAGTGGTCTGACGAAGACTTCATCCTGCACGGGTTAATAACCACCGATTTGGCTGAATTTGCGGCTGGGTGGCATACAGGTGGATGGACGTTCCTTAGACTCTGTCCGTCACTGCATAGTTTGAAGGTGACAAGTAGCGAACGTGAAGAGATGGTGAAAACAGCAACGCGAAAAATGAGTTTCTTCAACCCGTTCCTTTATAAGGAACGGTCAAAAACGTAAAAAGGCTTAATGATATGTTTGGCGTTGTTCGTTTCTGCAGTCTTCGTTTTCGTTGCCGTGAATTGAAAATTAGCCGTCATTTTGTTCAGATATGATGACTTTCATGGACTGGTCTTAAGGAAATAAAAAATCGAGGTCTCGTCACAGAAAAGCTGATTTAAATATGGTTGACAAAATGTAAACTTAATAGTTGTAGAATTAAGTGTTGAATATGATCAAGTAGTACGGAAATGTTAACAAAACCGGTGTTTCGCCTAAACGTTTAGGACGTAAATAAAGTCCGAACATCCAGATCCTGAGACATTGAAGACTTTCTTCTCCCAAGGTCAAAGACCTAACAAAAACGGAGAATTCTGAAAAACGAATAGCGTCACTACTCATGCTCATCGCTTTGTATTGAAAATTTTTAGAGGTAAGTTTTCGTGATTCGATTATTAGAGGCATTCGTACAAACAGGACACTGACATTTAGGTATTGACTTAATTTCAAGGCTACCGCATCAACCAAATATCATTGATCATCATCACGACAAATGGTGATCTGAGCTGATGCTAGCCAAGCACATGAAATTAATCTGATTTAAATCTTCTTACATTGTGTCACAATCGTGTTGTTTAATCCCTGTTTGTTGATTTACTTCGTACGGTATATAAACAAACTTCCTGGACAGATGCTATAAGTTGGTCTAAGTAACAAATTTATTTTTACGCCAACATAAAAAGACAAGGCAGTGATGTTACACTGCATAGGGTGCTCCAATGGTAACAACACGTGAAGTATCGAACATTACTATCCTGAGCAACCGATCACATTATGCATTTTGTTTGACATACATACAAAATGAGCAGCAGCGAGAAACTCAGACACAAGTTTTCATAAAACTTCGGCTGAATGCTTTTCTTGACGCTGTCCTCAAGTTTTCACGGTTACGTTTTTCAGTCGCTGCCTCAACGCCGCCAAAAGCTTATTGGCGAGATCATGACTACCAGAAAGCAACATTATATGGAAGTTTTCGCTGTACTGCATGAAACGCGGACCATTCTGCAGCAAGAATCCCTCACAAAACCTCATAAGATCAGCAGCACTATTCTTCTGAAAAGAAAATAATAATATAGGAAATTCATGCAAAATGCTATACCTGTGCTACATCATAGATGAAAAGGCACGTCTCCAACGTAACGCTTTGCGACAATACCTGCTCACAGCGCTTCTTTAATTGTTTCAGGCCATAGCCAGACGACACCTGGAGCACGTCAGCAAGTATCGAAAGATTCATCTCCCCGTCAGAAAACTCTCCAGTGTACAAGAAACGCATAACGATCTACAGATA